AAAAAAAAAAAAAAAAAGGATTGTGGAATCTATTACTAAAATGGCCAATCAATTATATTAAATTACCTAGTAAAGTCAAGTTTTTTTGTTTGTAACAGAAAAGTTATTTAATTATTTCTATAGTAATTAGAAGGTCACTCAACTTGATTTCTCAATTTTTCGGTAGCCAAATACCTATTTTATCCTCTAAATTATCAACTTTTATTTTTGTTAATAATTTAAAATATTTATATATTAAACATAAAAAATAATTTTCAAACATATAATATTGGAACAAAATAATTGAGCAAAGTTTTAAAGAATATATAATGTATATTATAAATATATTTTTATTTTAAGTAATTATTTTTTTATATTACACGCATGGAATGTATCCTTTAAAAGCATTTATCCTCTTTCATTCTCAATTATGTAAATAAATTATTGAGTTATTAGTTGTTGTAGATACGAATAAATTATTCTAATTAAAAAATTTATTGTGCTCAATTATTTTATTCATCTATTTCCTGCTTAAACTCTTACTTTATATCTCAAATATATTATTAATATACTAAAGTTATGTGATTTAAAGAAAATTACTCACTGAAACAAGGTACACATGTATGGTTTTTTTTTTTGGTAACTAAATTTTTGTATTAATCACCTTTGAAACTGTACAAAGCCATAGCTAAGCAAATACAACTAGCTATCTAAATACTACTTATCAGTAAATTCTGATCTATACACGCCAGTACACATAACTGGATTCTAAAATATGAAACTCTGTATCAAGGCCTTAACTCTTGGTGTTGCTCTTACATGACAGATATAAGCAACTTCACGCGTAATTATTTCTCAGCTCTGATACTTCTTTTCAAAAATTCTATGGTTCCTTTCCATCCATATAGCATAGACACATTCAGCGTACACTATTCTGAAGATTTGAGCTTGTTGCGATTTCCCTTTGGCATTGTGGATAGCCCATTATGTATGTTGGTTCCAAGTCTGCACTGTTATGCCCTTTCTTTGCAGCCATTGCTGCATTTTGCTCCATATAGACTTAGTAAAGTCACATTCATCAAAAAGACGATCTTTTGTTTCCATTTGATTCGGACATAGTATACAAGTAGGATCAACTATTAATCCCCAAGTCGCTAGTCAATCTGTTGTAGACATTCTCCCTTGTAATTGCAGCCACATTGTAAATATTGCTTTAGGCCTGGCATCATTCCCAAACATAAGACACTTCTACTGGCATCGTTATAGGGAGGAGCTGTTTGTAGATTGAATTGATCATACTCCGAGTAGTTGTGATAGGAGGTATCAATCCCAAGTGCTCCTTGGCTTCTAGTATTTCCCTAATGATCCACCTTGCTTGTGAAGGAATTGTCATGCCCCTCAGATGTTTGCCTTTGACATAGTAAACATGAATCCATCGAATTCACATTTTATCCTGTTTATGAGCTATGTCCCAGCATGTCTTGATTTGAGCAGCTTGATTTCACAGTTTTATGTTGATAGGGTTTATCCCTCCCATCGACTTAGGAGTGCAAACTCTATCCCATGCCACTAGAGCTTTCCTGGTGATTATGTTACTCCCAGACTATATAAAGCTTCTGCAATAAGCATCTATAGTTTTCAGGACCTTTGCAAGTATTAGAAACAATTAAGCCCAGTAGGCCTGAATTCCAAAGAACACAGATTTGACCAACTGAGTTCTACCTGCATACGATAACTTTTGGGCAGTCCAAGAAGTTATTCTAGCTGTGATCCTGTCAATCAGTGGTTGCCATTGTAGTAATGTGAGCTTCTTTGTTGATAAAGGCCCCACCAGATATTTGAAAGGTAAGGTTCCATGCACAAAACCTAAGTGACTCAGTATGTTGTCTTGAGTCTCTTTCTTAACTCCACCAAAACACACACAACTCTTGCCAAGATTAGCCTGCAATCCTGGAGCTTCAGAAAATTGGCTAAAATACTTGTGTAAAGCAGTAATAGAAGTTAAGTTTCCTTTGGTAAATAGAAGTAGATCATTCACAAAACTAAGATGTATAATTCCTAATTTTGCACAAGCTCTGCAAGAACCTGCCTAAAAATTGGCCATTCTACAGAGTCATACGCTTTTTGCAGATCAATTTTAATCATGCATCTGGGTGATACATTCTTCCTTGTATAAGATTTGATAAGCTCGTGAGCAAAAATGATATTGTCAGCTATTTTCCTGCCCGGGATAAATCCTGTCTGGGCCTCACAAATGATGTCTGGTACCACACCTTGTAATATGGAGGCTAATATTTTGGCAATCAATTTGTATAGAATAGTACAACAGGCAATAGGTCTATACTTTTTAACTGAAGTTGGATTGTTAGTCTTTGGGATCAAAGTAATGGTTGTATAGTTTATTGCCTTATACAATTTTTCAGTTTTGAAAAATTCCTTTTTAGCTTCCACTACTTCTACTTTTGCTATTGACCATACTTTCTTGAAGAAGTATGCATTATATTCATCCACACGTGTATGTTAAGACTAGTTAGATAATAGTTTAAAAAGATGGGTGAAAAGAATGGGTTAATTTAAGTAGCATTTTGATAGATTGAGCTAAATTCGTCATAAAATCAACATCCCAATTATAATTTATCTGATCCAAAGTTCAAACGTTAACAACAACAATAACATACCCAGTAATATCCCACACTGTGGGGTCTGGAGAGGGTAGTGTGTACGCGGACCTTACCCCTACGTTGTGAGGATAGAGAGGTTGTTTCCAATAGACCATCAGCTCAGGAAAGTATTGTAAGCACGTGATATTTGCCCTATGAAAGAATTACTCCCAAAAAACTCAAAATAAAATAATTTTCCTTGGTGTGCAATTTTTGAATTTTTGTGGTATTTTTGGATAATTATTTGCATTTTTGTCTGCGCATGTTTATTTGTTAAATTAATAAAAAATACAAAAATACGTCTACATTTTGCATGTAGGATTTAATTCTACAATTGTTAGTAATTAAGTTTGTTTTACAAAAATTGAAAATTACAAAAATAGGCATCTTTTGCATTTTTTAGCATTTAATGTCCAATTGTACAATTTCATACTTAATTATTACTTAATTGTGTGTTAATTGTTATTGAGAGTTAATTTGCGCTTTTATAAATTA